AGCGGCCCCGCCCCTGCGCCAGCACTTCCGGCCCCGCGCCCGCCCGCCCCCCCTTGCCGGCGGACCGCGGCGAGCGAGGGATTTCGGCCAAGCCCTCGGCTGGGCCAGGCGCAGACGAGCAACCCGGGAGCAGTCCGGCGGGACCGCCCGAGCCGAACGCCGAGCCCAGCGCGGGAAGTCGGGCTCGGCGTCCGCTACCTAGGGCTGATGCGAAGTTTTCCCCCAGGTTTCAGTAGGTAAACCGCAGTCCGCTGGCGAGCCCCGGCGCAGCCTGGCACCGCGGCCGAGACCCGCGCGTGGGGACAATACCAAGGAAAGAGCAGCATAGTCCAGACCCTGCAGTACTTTGAAGAACGAGCCAGAGGATCACGCCAAGCCACAAACATAAGTCTTTAATGTGAGTCAGACTGGCAAGAGAACAGCATTTTTACTTACAGTTTTATGCTTAGACCAAACCTCTTCATAAGCAAAGGTGCCATATAAAGAACAAAATGCTCTGACATCATGACAGACTGCAAATGTTGCACATACAACACATCAGTGCAAGGTGGGGTCCCTTCTAACACTCCACTACATTTGCATGTGATCAGCTTTTGAGTTCAATTAGGTCATTTGTATTCCTTGAAAGGAAATGCTCTGGGGGCCAGACCCTGTCCTCACTACTAGCTTCAACAGAAATTACACGTGTACCTAAAGACAAAATTGGGCCCACTGCACCTATTACAACTGCCATCCGATTGGCATTCTCTCATCACTTGTTAATGTATTCCAGAGGTGACCTTGCAAGTAACAGCCCTAAAGGGAGGGACCTCACAGACTGTGGTACATGGAGATTAAAAATAATTAAAATGTAATATTAGTTGTAAAATAAAAAGCAACTAGATTCTGGCCATAATTAAACATGCAGCTAGAAGACTAACATAGTAAGGACAGCTCCTGCACCTCTGCAAATAAAAAAAAAAGTCCCAAATTAAAGAAAGGAGGTGGGGAAAAAGTTAATCTAAAAAAAAAAAAAAAAAGCCAGAAAACCCCAACACACTAGATGTACTGCTAGTTTTATTTACAAATGCCTTGCGTTTCCACTGAGTGAAAATATTAAGATTAATTGTCTTAATTTAAGATACCTGCCTGAATGAATTAATGAACAGGCTGGCTGGTAGGTCAAAACTGTACAGTAGTGGCTAGAATTCCACTTCCTCAGCTCAAATTCAGCATGTGTTGTAACTGCTTCAGCTACACTATCTGTGCAGTCTCAGGGTCACCACTGTGGCTGGAACAGGAAGTTTTTGTCCTTAATTTAAAAAATAAACAATTATGCTTTTGTAATTCCCACCCTGCCTCCCTGCTTTATTACTATACACCAGATTTATTTCACTGGCAGCTGAAAGCATTGAGAAGAGTTTGGCAGAAATTCACATACACTGCAATCTGTACAAGCAACTATCCTTAAGATGTATGTGAAAGCAGAATTCTGCTCCATCTTGATTAGAAGCCTGCCTCCAACAAGCAAACAATCTTTGTTTGACTGGTCCCTAATGACTTATACCTGCAAATTTTCACAACTCGCAAAACCAGATCTAGGAAGTTATAATCTGATCATAGTGCGCAGGTTAATAGACAAGCTCTGAAAATCCTCATTGTTGAACTCAATTACAAGAGACCAATCTAAATAACTCATTCAAACACAGGCTTCCTATACTAGGTACCTATATCATCACTAGGGGTAGACCTGAAAGTATCTTGACAAAGTGCCCCAGATGCGCAAGCCATCTTCATAAAGATGAACAGTAGCTTTTAAGAGAAAGATCGGGGCACATTTCGTTTGTCTCTAACTGGAATAGCAAGGGATTCTTTCAGATCCTGAAAACATGAAATGAGCTTCCTAAACACTTAAAAAAAAAAAAAAAAGAAATCCCTAATTCCTCTGAACATGTACAAACTGAAGAAAAATGAATTCAGTTAGCATCAGTGCTACTGATTTCAAACTCCAGTGGTGCAAGGGGTCAAAGTGGATGTTCTGAAAGGGCACAAGTGTTACAAATATTACAGCAGGTTGTGTTTCCAACCACAGGACTAGCTCTAACCGCTGCATTCGTTAGTTTGTGACAAACACACAGTGTGTAAAATCACTAGCCCGTGTTGAAAACAATCCATCAGATTTATTTATTCCTACTAAAACAAATCCTGTTAAACAGTACATAACTTTGTATCCCTACAAACTCACAGCTATCTGCCAAACAATAAAAATTCAAAACTACAAAAGATGAGTTGTATTCAGTAAATATAAATGGGAAATTTAGGCTTTGTGTAGAATGTTTCATCAGACTATTTACAGTGCAACACAGATCGTTTGAGTTCAGATCTCGCCAGCTTCTCTCTCTTCTGATCTCTTGGAACGAGATTTGCCATTTGTGCTCTCGTGCCGTCTCTCAGAAGAGCTCTTCTCTTTCTTCTCTCTGTCTCGTGACTTTTCTCTTGAAGATCGATCTTTAGAGGATCTGAAGTAGAAAGTAAATCATAACTATAAACTTCACAACTAAAAACAATCATAAATGTACACTTGATGGCAGACTCATTCTTTTCAGGAAACATGCAGTATAATGCAGCTTAAAGAGACATATGCCTAATTACTGCCCCATCAGAGAAAAAAGATTACCCCATACTAAATAAAGAGCAAACAGCATCTGGTGCATTTTTTTTTTTATGTAACAGAATCATCCAATGACTGTCAATGGAATTCAAGTAACTCTTCTTTATGCGAAAAGCACTGTGTTGGTTTCATCCCATTCTTTCCTGCTCAGTACTATAAGCTCTTTAGGATGTGCCCTCTAAGATCACCTGACAGTTTGCTGGGCAACAGGAGCAGTTCCTATATACATGGCAACTACTAGTATGACTCCTCCTGCAATCTTTCTACTCTATTTCAGTTTCTTTTGCAGCACCCTCTGAGGCTGCAAGCAGCAACTTCCTACCCAAGAACTCCTTTAATTACTGACTGTTAAACAAAAATGCTTACTTCAAATCCTGGATATTCGTTACTTCGCATTGTCAAAAATTTAATATCTGCTAATATTCTTGTTTCAAAGCACAGCTCTAATGTACACACAACCCTCCCTGCTTACCCTCTCCCTCCCTTTCTCTCCCCCCCTGCAGGTACTACTTATCCATGGTAAGCGCTCTTCTTTTCTCACTCCACCTTCTCTCTCTCTCAGGTTGGCAGCTACTTCCCTCCCCACTTACCCAACCAGTAGCTCACACTGCAGCCAGGTTGCAAACACCTGGCTTGCTGCTCTGAAGTTGAGAATCATTGCTATAGATCATCTGTTTCATCAATTCTACATGCTGGCAAGTGGAGAATTAAGCAGCCACAATTCCCGAGTCACAGTCTTCCAGTATGACCCAAGCTGATTGTTAAGAACCAAACAAGTTATCAAGTATATTCAAGAGGTGTTTACCCACTTCTCAGAACTAAAGGGATGCTTTCAGAGACCTTAAAAAAATCTAGAGCTCCTTAAATACAGAACATGCTTCCTCTCTACAGCCACAAGAGGATGACTTAGGGGTTGTTTTAAATGAAAGCTTGATTTAGTCTGGAACACAGGAATTGGAGGCACTGCATCAAATGTTTAATAAAACCTAAACATACCAGCTACCTTGCCTTCATCTACTATACATTCTGTCAATTAGCCAAGAAAGCAAGCAAGCAAGCAAACCTGTTTGACATGATGTATTTGTTAACACATCCTTACATGGGCACTCACAACCCATAATTGTACTACGCTTTAGAAGTTGACTGCTCTCAATATCTGTTTGATTAGTTTAAGTGGGGCATTCAAACCAATGGAAAAATAAAGCATCAAGCTCAGCAATTCCTTCTATGAAAATGGGAATTACACTACTGTTTTACCAGTCTTTGGAACCTCTCCAATTCCTTCCGAGTTTTTAGAAAAAAATGTAACTAGAATAATATGTTTGTTAAATAGCTCCCTAGGATGCATTTTATCTAGGTCGGCTGATTGAATACATTCAAGCTTTTCGAAGTATTCCCTTACCTGCTCTTTAGTAATAGTTATTACTGGGTCTTCCTCACTTCCTAATTGTCCAAACTTCTTTTCTTTATTTTTCATGTTCAAGACAGATTTAAAAAAGGACTTTAGTATCTCAGCCATTCCAGAGACAACATTTTCACCCCCCTCATTTAATTAAGAGATCTACTTTCACTCTAATGCTCCTTTCCCTCCCCATCAGGTATCTGTAAAAGCCTTTCTTATTCCCTTTGGCTAGCAGTGCTGCAAGGCATGGCATGCAAGTTATACTTTTTTTTTCTTTTCTACTGTACTCAAATGGGTCCAATTAGAGGGAGGTGGCATTTAAAACACCTTCCTCAAAGCTGTCCAAGAAACTTGATTCACAGCACCCACGAGCCTACTTGGTCCAATTGTAGCAAACAGCCATGCTTGCACATACAGGATCACGGTTCAGACCTCCAGCTCCAGGGCTTGGAAGCACTGCAAAAGGGCATGCCAACAGTCTGGGGCAAAGATCTAATATTATGTTTCAATGACTTTTTCTCCTCCCCTCCCGTTTAACCCACTAACCCAAGGGCTGTTAAGTCCCAGAGGAAAGATATCAAACACTTCTCAACCAGAGAGCTGCTATAGCATTGCTTCAAGAGATGACAGAGGATATGCGTCTCTTCTCCCTCCCAAAGCATTCTTTGGAAAAATTTCCACTTTTCATGGGTAAACATGCCAAAGCCTGCTCGAGATGCAGTCCACTCCCCAGCAAACAACATATCCTTTTCCCAACAAAAATACATTCTTGTGGGCTAAGATAAGGCAGATAGCTGTACAACCAGCAGCTAGTCATAGCATGCCAATGCGCAACCCCATTTACTTTGCTTTGCTGTGTGCATGCATATGTGTGCGTGTGCACATGTGCACACCTGCATGTCTGTAATTTACAGGTTAGCACAAGCAGGCACCTGGCCTTTTCCTGTTCACCAAGGCATTAGGAACACTCTTCTAAGCTGTGACTCCACATGGAAAGCAGTTTTTAGTCTAGGTTCGATTTTTAAGCTATTGTTCCATTTAGTGCCAACTTGTTCTCATTCGACTGTCTATGGACAGCCTTTGGAAAGAATTTTGCCGACTCAGGAGTTAGTCACAAACACTGAAGCTCCTGGCTCTAAAATCATATGCATTACTGTTCATCTGACAGTAAGCTCTTTTAGGAAGCCAAGGAGTCTGAGAGAAGGGGCCCCACCCTGGTAGTGCCAAGTGAACTGAGTACATACTTATGTTTTGAACTCCTGTCTCTAGAACCCCGGCGGTGACCTCTGCTGTGGCTGCGTGAGCGGCTTCGGTGGCGTCTGTGTCGGTCACGTTCTCGGGACCTGGAGCGGGACTTCCGTCTTTCACGAGAAACTGATCGCGAGCGCCTTCGCCTCCTATCCCGAGATCGCGATCTGCAGGGACAGAAAAACCATTTCAAACCCAGACTGTATGTGTTCAGTATATGGTTGAGCCATCTTTCCGTCAATAATCCAGACAAAAACATTTCAGAGTAACATAGTGTATATGAAGATTCAGCCACCAAGTTCACCTGTGCTGTTTTACAATCAAGGCCATACACTGCCCAACACAAAAGGCAATCCCTCAAGGGAACATGCAGTGTCCTGGGGTAGAGTTTTACCAATCAGAACCCAAAGCCAGTAAATTCTCTCTCTCTCTCTAGAAGTTGTCTAAAAAGTTCCAATTCAAACAAATTCAAGCATATGCTGATGCAGAGCACAGGTGCTGAATATACAGCATTTGGAAATGGGATCAAGGAAAGAGGGGTGAGAAAATAGATGGTATGAGGAAGTGTCATGCAGTCTCTCTAAAAGGACTGCCAACAGACTTTCCTAGGGAAGTACTGTACTGGATACTGGAAAGAATAACTCATTTTGATCTATCCTAAAACAAAGGATGGCAATATATATGGGGAGGGATCTGCATACTCACCTTCTACGATCTCTGTTTCTTGATCCAGACCTGAAAAGAATAACGTTTGTTTGAGACTACTATAAAGAGGAAACTAGGATATCATCAACAGTTTCTATAAAACAGCCTGTTCTCTAGCAGTTGTTCTCAGGGTTCTGCAGCACACTAGTTATAGTTAACCTGATCCAAACCAGAGCTGGTTGAAAATTTCTTTTTTTTCCTGTAATAACACAAGTACAAAGCCAAACTGTTTTGTGGAAACCAATTTTAACAAAATTTTGCCAAGAACATTTCTTATGCCCAGCATAGATTTTTTGGTCAAAATTTAAGTGATCAACCAAGTGACTCCAAAACCTTTTGATATACTGGGGTTGGAGGCTTAAAGAAAAATAAAGTTTTGAGATGTGGGCATTCACTCGAATTTTATAATCCATTGTTCATGTCCAATATATTAGTTGCAAACGCTCTCTTTTGTAAGAACAAACCTAATTATTTTCAAATCTACAAATGTATCTAGATCACATAAGAGGTGTGGCCTGGACACACACACATTATTAATATATTATATTAATTACTATATATTTATGATCATATACAAATAAAACATATAAATATTTTTGGGCAACTTGAGGCAAGTATCATTACCTATTTTACAAACCTAGCTAAATCTACTCAACAAGGTTTTTACATGGATTTTGTGTGTGGGGTGGGGGAAGAGAATTTTAGTTCTTGGTAAAGAACTGATATTAAAAAAGATAATTAAGAAATGCATCAGGAACATTTTACTGCATTCTCAGGGTTAGAGACTTTTTAAACATGTCAACTAAACCCTAGCAACTTTTTCCACAGTAGTGGCTTGAATTAGCACACTGGGTTTTCAGTTCCACTCTTATGTATCAGATTTTCCATCAGCCTGTGAACAACAAAGTCTAAAAATCTCATGATTTCTGGACATAAATGATCAGAACCTGTTAAAATGCTAACATGAATAGATGTCTGTCATTCAACTGTAGACGTCTGCTTCAAAGCAAGCACATTTTTTATGGATCCAAATACACACAAATGCTACAGACCTATTCCCTAACCCAGCGGTTCCCAAACTCTGGCAGACTGAGTACCACCAATTTAAAATGATACAGCCTTAAGCACCACTAGCAAATTTTCCATACACACAGGTTGACTATGTATTAAAACATCAAAACATTTAATAAACATAAAACATTGTTTTATCAGTTATGGTAGCCATATAAAATACATGTACATTGGAAAAAAGACAGTGTAAACCAGGCAATATTTTTGTCCAGAGTACCGAAAAAACCGCATTGTGTACCCTGTAAGGTGTCAGACTGTGGGTACACCAGAAAAACAAAACGGGCAGAGGGTACATGGCAGGACGCACTGTATATTAATATAGTTAATCATCATAAATGTTGCTGCCGGGGGGGGCGGGGGGACGTGTTTGTTTTTTTTTTTACAGTAAATACCAGGTTTTCTAAAAATTCTAAACCTGGTGACAATAAATAAAACTTCATATACTACCTTTGTTCTTGTGTATTCTTTTTTGTTAAGTGTGTTCTGATGAGAGGAGAGGAAGAGAGTGAGAGAACACAGAAGACAGTGAACAGAGTGAACAAACAGAGAGAGAAGAGAGAGAGAGAGAGGGGAGGGGAGAGGGAACACAGAGTGGGGAAAAAAAAAAGAGAGGGAGAGAGACATGGGGAGAGCAGATGTGGGGGAGACACTGCTGGCAGAGTGGGAAGGCAGCAGCCAAAGGAGAACAGGGTCTGGGTGGAGAATGGGGTCGGCCCCAGGGCTCTGCAGACTCAGGCTGCAGTGCGGGTGCTGTGGCACCAGAGGTGGAGCCTGGCCCAGGCTGCGCAGCTCTGTGGGGGTGAGGCACAGCTGTCCTGCCCACAGGTGAACACTGCCTGGCCGGCACAGGGGGACTGTGCGCACCAGGAGGACTGTGCGCACCAGGGGGGCAGGCACAGTGCAAGCAGGGCGGAGCCCTCCAGGCTGCAGCAGGGACTCCCTGGGTTCATTTGATGCTTTTTTTAACATTTCTGTACGGTATGAAAACATGATCAATGCAATAACACATGGAAAAAAAACTCAATGCCTTAAATAAATATGTTAGGGTCTGTCTGATGGACACTGAATTTGATGGTTTAGGAACACACTACTCTGGGCTTTTGAGGGAAGTGTTATCTGCCTCCTTGTAAGAAAGAGAAACATAGCTTAAAGACTGGAGCACTGGACTGGGACTAACAAGACGGTACCTGTCTTCCTAACATTGCTGTTAAGTGACTCTGGGACCAGTCATGTCCCCTTCTCCATACCTCAGTTTCCTCCCTTCCCCGCATCATGTAAGACAACACTGTTTTTATAAAGCGCTTTAAGTTCCACTGAGGAGGACAGTTAATTATTATTAAGACAGCAGGACTCACAAAGAGATGGATACATATGTCTGTGTGGGACAAGGGCTGAGGTCTCAACCTAAGCAATGACATACAAAGAAGCTATAGGAACAAAGCAAGTTTCCATACCAACACAATTCAACATTTTTAATACATTGTTCTTTAAATGTTATGTATGTCCAAAAGTGCAATTTCTGAAAATCAGCACATAAGCAGCGCCATGCATAGAATCCATGCCCTGTTCCCAAAGTCTGCTTTTGGAAGGAGAGAGAAATAAATGGAAGTTGAGCCAGAATTTACAAGAAAGACTGATCAAATAAGAGACCCTAGAACTATTCCTTTCCGACCCTACCAACTACGAAACTAAAACTGAAAAGCTCCAAGTGTGAGGGGCTACCATGGAAAGCACTCTTCGGTTCCCTCTACAAGTGTAGGTAAAGGCATGATTGGATATAATGTGCGATCCACACAATTGCACCTCCTGCATGCGTCTTGAGCTGGGTTCTTAATTAGGTAAACTACCATGTGGGAGCTCACACATTTTAAGTGCTGTATATTTTAATTGCATGCTCTCATGGTAAAGATAACACCCAATATGAGGAATGGGCCCAACAAAAGGCTTACCTGTGTTGGCATAGCTGCCCCCCATTGCATATGCTGTGGCAGATCTTTCAGCACTAACAAAGGCCTACGTTTGGAAAGGATTCATTTGCCATTCTTGTGGTTCTTGTAATTGCTGCACAAGGGCAGTACTATTTTAAATCCTAACCCCAAAAGAGGGGCTCACTGCTTTCACTTACCGTCTGCCCATTCTCTCTTCTCGTTCTCGTTCCTCTCTCCGCCTCAAACGATCCTGGTTTCTTTTCTCTTGTTTTTCTGCCACTGTTTTCTAGGTAAGGAAGGAATTCACAAGTTTGTTAGACATTCTGTAGCGGCCCAAACCAGTGTAGCAAGATCCTATAAGTACTGAGGCGAAAAATGTAATAATTCAGAAGAATCTGGATTTTATTCTAACATTTTCCAACACGTCATTTGTTTCCTTACTGGTTTGAAAGTCAGAACACAGGACTATTTTGCTTATAAAAGTCAAGACAGAAGAAGGGCTGAAAAACAAACTATGGATGGCAATGACTTTCTTATACATTTATATAAAACACTTCAAAAGCAAATTTTTGACTTTGCTGTCAAAATCTCCACTCGCATTTCTGTTTCTTCTACCATTGTCCTCAGCTGTTGCAGATTTTGGTGAGGCAAGGAATGTATTTCCTGCTCTGGCCTTTATGCCTGTGATTGTCTGTGGTACTATCTACTTCACCCATAAGAGCTCTTTGGATCAGGGATCGTCTCACTCTGTATAAACCTACCACAATGTCTAAATCTTGAGGTTAGTGTATTTTGACACAACTGCAATATAAAGAATTAACCACCAAAATAAGAATAGCATGGAAATGAAGAACACTGATGGGAAAGCTAGAAAGCTCCTGTTTGTTTGTAAGGACTCTGTAAAAACTGACCTAGCTAAGTACATCAGTCCCACCAAGTCAGAGTACCTGTGGCTTTGAAAAGTGCTCTGTCATCAAGATTGGACCTGTGCAAGATCTTTGCTGACAGCACAATGTAACACATTAAGGTTTATAAAATATTTTGTCTGGAGGTCTCCTACTGGTTTTCAAAATTAAAAAGAAAATACTTTTAGAATTAGTGATAAACGTTGCTTCAGCCCAATGGACTACAATGCAGTGCATACTCAAGAATTTCTTTATTAAAGGAGAAGTTAATTTGGTATTTTGGGGGGCATATTCCTCTAATAGTAAAATTTCAGTTAATCAGACATTATAAGGGAGAACTTAAGGCAAAGGTACACAAGCCTCCATTTGAAGATTCACTGTTATTGAAATCAGAGAGCTTTCGAGAACAAGGATTTGGCAGAGCTTTCATATAAGCCAGAGAAAGGGACTGTGCATGACAAAGTGGCAAGGATCCACTAAACTGCCACCCACTGCTATCTAAAGGGGAGAAAAGAGGTTTAATAGGATTACCCTCAACTGATCCAGTTTCTCACGGATCTGAATGAAGCCCAAATGTAATTTGCCACCAAAATGATCAGCGAGACGGCGGTCATTGTCATGGAGACCAAGGTATGCTGAACAGACCTCACAGACGCGCAGCTTCTGCTGCTGGAAACTGGAAGCTGGCATAGAATTGCGGTATTCTTCCTGAAGAGAAATAGATACAAGCCAACATAAGGAACCCACCATGCATTAAGCACTCTTAAACAGCTTGCAGCTTGTAAGTTGGTCTATACTAAAGTTTGGTTGACAGGACTCAGGTACCCTCAGCAAAACTGTGACACCTTCATTTTTCATCACATCTGCAAGCAGAATCTCTTCTTTCTGCTGGCCGAGGAACCAACAAAAGGCTTCTGCCATAACAGGAAAGATGCCAGAATGCATTTGTACATGTGCCCACACTCTGCAGGCTATCACTGTCCTTTGAATAGCTGGTGCCTTACAGAATACACTATGCATCCTGCTGATACAACTTTATGCAGCAGAGCCATGTGGAGCTGCCAGAACTTCTGTTGGCAAAAAGCTTGCAGTGTAGACAAGCCCCCAAAGCCATTTCATCAGTTTTCATTCCTTGTGGCCAACTACTTGCTAACCCAGTGTGGAGGTAGAGAAGAGGGGAAGTTGTCTAGATGGGAATTTCCTGCTTTGTGTAGTGATTCAGTTAGCTGTTACACAGAAACTATTATGACATATTAAGATTACTGTTTTCAACAAACCTCCGCTTCTTTCTTTTTTGCTCGGACTTTCTCCACTTCCATCAGGATCTTTTGAGATTCATCCACGTTCCCTTCTGCTCCTAACTGCTCAGCTTTCGCCAGAAGTTTCCCTATGTCTTCATTCAGCTCGTGCACTTTTTCCGCCTGAAAAGAGGAACTTATTTTTTAACAAGCCAAAGAATGCAGTAACTTTCATGGGGCTTGTGACTAATAAGCCTTTTCATTACACTTACAGAAACAGAGAAGCCACCTTGCCACCACCATCACCCCAAAGCCAGGGAGGCCTGCAGTCTCCCCACAGGTTGAAAGAGAAAGTTATCCCCAACCCCCTCTCATCCTATCTCCTGTCCTTTGCTCCTGCCTGCCTCCCCAACAACATAAGGATCTTCTAAACGTGACTGAAGACTTCCTTCAAAACAATGACAACTCTACCTTAGATGCGAGACTCCCTTGAAAACTCCTTTAGTCTCCCAGCAATTACAAACACCCCATTAACACCAGTCCCTAAGGTTTTAATATGGAATCTGAGCAAAAAGATGAGGAATAGCATAGCACCCGAATCCTTGAACAATCCATGCACATTAAACACATTGGTTTAAGTGCCTCCGATACTTCCAGCTGCATGCTATGGTTTATAACTCCCTTCTGCACTCATGGCCCCATCCCAACTTCCTTAGTTGGCTGGCTGGCGGAACAGCACAACAGCTGGCAGAAACTTCACCACCCTTAGATCAACCAGCAAGGAATGTACTGTCCTTTGAAATGGTACATGCTGGCTCTTCCATATAATCCTTTATTATCCTTACAGATGATGCCCCAAAGGTACAATGGGAACCACAAGTATTTCAAAAGCAAAGATGCATAAGACAAATGAACCAGGTCTCAAATGTCACTGATCTGCAATTGTTCCCCTGGCTCACAACTGCTGCAGGACAAGGTGTGAACACACCTAACAGTTTCAACAGTGTGAAGTGTTATGGCTCCAACACCAAGGGGTGGAAGTAAGCACCCAGCCCAGGATACCTCTCAGACGTTGAATGGAAAGAGGGAGGGGAGCAGTGCTTACACCCATGCTCTGGGGGTTCTAGTAGGTAGGCGACCTGCAGCTGGCAGTGTTGTCACTTTTCTGGTTTCTCTTGTTTCCTAGACATAAGTTTACTAAACTTCAAGTGTGCTTGCCTGAAGTGTGCTTGCCTAACTGTGGAGGTAGCAGGGAGTGCTAAGTCTCCCCAAGGGCTAGGAAGCATGATAAGGAGCTGTGGTCAGGTAGGGAGTAAAGACACAGCTGGCTGTTAGAAATATAGCAGAATTCCAGCTGTGTACCAGAGTGGCCAACTGCAGCAGAATGTGTATGTTTTTGGAAAGGGGGGG